GGCCGTGAGGGCGCGCCCCTCGGCAGGCGCGCGCTCGGCGCGCGCGCGCGTTTCCGCCGGGGGCGCGGGCCCGGCGCGCGTCGTCGTTTCTTTCCCCGAAAACTGCAGCGCGCGCTTCATTCCATCGTCGGCGGAAGCCGACCGACCGAGGGTGTCCTCTGTGCGCGCTTTGGACATTCATGGGCGGTATACACGCATCTCGAATACTAGTGGTGTATTATGTTGGTGCGTTTTTCCTGATAGCGGATTTGTTTCTCATAAGATGAAGTTTCAAGTGTCGTATTTTCTGCAAGTGCGCCCGCTCCGAACTTAAGACGGTGAAAATCTCCCCCCCTAATTTCTTGCGTTTCCCACGCGGACCACAATCAACTTAAGCGTGGTTCTAGCGCGGAACGCCAGTGCAAATCATACATATATATATATATATATATGTATTCCCCCGTGGCCAGTTATGGTGTATATGTTCGTTTCTTCATATTCCTCTTCTTCCTCTCCCTAGTGCTCGTCCTTTTTTCCGTCCTCTCTCGCTCTGCTCCTGCGCACCTTTTCCACGTCCCCTCCTCGCCTCGTCGTTCGCCCCCTCCTCCTCATCCTCTTCTTCCTCCTTCTCCTCGTCCTCCCTCGTTCCACCGCCTTTTTTGTCCCCTCCATTTCTCTGTCCGTTGTTTCTCCTGTTGCTGTATTTGTCCCATCATCATGCGGCGTTGGGTGACGACGCCCCGCGTTGCTCCTCCTCCTCCTTCTCCTCCTCCTGCTCCCCCCCCCCTCCTCCCGCTGCTTCCTCCTCCCCTTTTCCTTCCGTCTCCCCCCTCACTTTGGCATGCCCCCCACGCGTTTCGCAGCCGCATATAAGGAGCTCCACCGAAGGCCCCAGCGGCAGGTCCCGCGCGCGCGGTTCCCCGCCCATTCCGGCACACCTCTCGCACGTTTCTTCGTTGCCCCATCGGGATCTCCGAAGGCCGCGGTTGCGAAGGCCGCAGTGGCAGGGTCCGCATGCGCGCGTTTCCCCGCTCAAGAAGGGTTTTTGCTCTATGGCTTAAAAAGGGGCCGGGCAGTGGACCTCGCCCTGGGCGGCCCCCCCAAGATCCGCCCCGCGGTCCCCTAGACCCCTGGGGGCTTTAGTTTTAGCTGCAGCTTAGCTTTAGCTTAGCTTTTATAGCTTTAGCTTAGGTTTATAGCTTGACTTTAGCTTAGCTTTAGCTGTAGCTTGAGCCTAGCTTGAGCTTAGCTTTAGCTTAGCTTTAGTTTAGCTTTAGTTTAGCATTAACTTTAGCTTCATATTAGCTGTTGCTAGATTTTAGCTTTGCTTTAGCTTAGCTTTAGCTTAGCTTCAGCTTCGCTGTAGCTTCAGCTTAGCTTCAGCTTTCGCTTAGCTTTAGTTTAGCTTTAGCTTGGCTTTAGCTTATAGCTTTCGCTTAGCTTTAGCCTTTAGCTTTAGAGATCGTGTAGCTGTGTTTCAGCTTAGCTTTAGCGCTAGCTTCAGCTTAGTTTGAACTTCTGTGTAGCTTAGCTTCAGCTTAGCTTCAGCTTGCTTCAGCTTAGCTTTAGCTTAGCTCTATCGTAGCTTTAGCTTAGCGTTAGCTTAGCGTTAGCTTAGCCTTAGCTTAGCTTCAGTTGAGCTTTAGCTGAGCTTTAGCTTAGCGCTAGCTGAGCTTTAGCTTAGCTTTAGTTTAGCTTTTGCTTAGCTTTAGCTTAGTTTTACTGTTACTACTGCAAGGCCCCCCCCAGAGGCCGAAGTCAGCGAAAAACTTCCCGTTTTGATTTTTTCCATGGTTCGAGGGGGCCCGGGCCTCGGGAAACGCGCGGGTCGGCCACGCGCAGGAGGGAGGTAGGGAGAGGGGGGGGGGCTTCAAGGAGGATTGCGGCGTGGAGGAGGTGCAGGGGGCCCGCTCCCATCTTGGCCCGATCGATCGCCTCATTGAGATTTCATTGGGTCCTTTCGGGGCCCCATTGGATCATCTGGGATCCGTTGCAGCCGTGGGCATTTCGGCATTCTTCGATGGAGTGCGTATCGATCGATAGCGGGATGAAGCGATCGATCGATCGCTTCATCCCGATATCGATTGATTCGCATCGATGTCGGGATCGAGGCGGTCGATCGGGTCAATGGGAGTGGACTCCCGTCTTCCTCCCCTCCTCCTCTCCGCTCTCGACCCTGGCCCGCGAGCGCGAGCCGCGGGGCCGCCCCGGCGGCGGCCGCCCCGGCGGCGGGCGCCGCGGCGCCGCGGGCCTCCAGGCGCGGCGGGAGGTAGTAGTAGTAGTAGTAGTAGTAGTAGTAGAGTAGTAGAGAGGGAGGTAGTAGTAGTAGTAGTAGTAGTAGTAGTAGTAGTAGTAGCCTTTCTTCCATAAGCTAAACTTCGGTTTCCCATCGAAGACCTCGGGAACACCTGAGGCGAGCTGTGAAACAAGCAATGAACACGGAATCTCTCCCCAGCAGGGCGGGTCCAGTAGTAGTAGTAGTAGTAGTAGTAGTACAAGTAGAAGTAGAAGTAGAAGTATAGAAGTAGAAGTATAAGTAGAAGCAGTAGTAGTAGTAGTAGTAGTGGTAGTAGTTGTAGTAGTAGTAATAGTAGTCGTGTGTACTATAGCTACAAGTAGTAGTAGTAGTAGTAGCAGTAGTAGTAGCAGTAGTAGTAGTCGTAGTAGTAGTAGTAGTAGTAGTAGTAGTAGTAGTAGTAGTGGTAGTAGTAGTAGTCGTAGTAGTTACAACAACAACAACACTACTACTACTACTACTACTACTATGCCGATGCGTCCATAGCTGCAGCTGTTTTGTCTTATGCAGCTTGCTGGGCTCTGCGTCCCGCTCCAATGCCCCCCAAGCGGTCCGCTTGGAAGTCTGTGCGCCCTGGGCAAAGTTCAATGGGCGAAAGAGGATCTGGACGCCCGAAATGGGTACTGAATGGGTACAATGCCCAACGACAATTCCTGTTCATTTTGAACAGGATTTGCTGTCCGCGCCGACGCAGCCTGTGTCCATTCGAGACAGAAGATCGCCTGCCCAACAGCGGCCGCTGTTGGCTTGGGACAACATTAGTTGTTGGGCATAGTGCCCATTCTTTCAGTGCCCACTTCGGGCGTCCACAGAGGATGTGCAATACTGTGCGACGGGCATCTATAAATTGCTCCCGGCCCCACTCAAAAAAATCGTGTCGGAGGGGCGCATGTTATGCGACATCGTCCAGCCCTTCAACGCAGAGGATCCCGACAACATGTCTTGTGGAAAATGTGACTTAGAACGTAATTATGTATTCTTGGAAGTGTTCGTCGAGAAATACCCTGATCGAGCGCCGTCGGGTTTCATGATTACGGAGTGGTCGGCTGACGCCGTTCCGAAATGACCCCCCCCCCCCAATATCGGAAGCGAGGGGGTGAGATCGAAGTGGCACTGAAAGCACCCCCACCAGGAAATCGATTTCGGTTTCGTGCTCGCGCGCGCCGCGCGCGCGAGCGAAGGCGAAGCTGCGCGGCTCAGGCGCGGCCGGACCGAATGATTCCCTTCCGGCATTTGGCGCCGCGCGGTGCCCCGCCGGCGCCCCGCTGTAGCTGGGGCGCGGGCGGGCCAAATGATTCCCTTCTGGCGTCCGGCGCCGCGCGGTGCCCCGCCGGCGCCCCGTCCGCGCCTCGGCGACGACGGCGATGATGATGTCGACGATGTTGATGATGACGATCATGATGATGATGATGTCGATGAGGATGATGGTGGCGGTGATCATGATGACGCCACGATGACGATGCGGATGTTGGCGATGCGGATGGTGATGGTGATAGCGGCGATGATGCCGTGTCCCGATGATGATGATGTTGATAATGATGATGATGGTGATGATGATGATGTTGCGGATGTTGATGATGATGATGACGATGGAGGGGTCCCGATGATGATTTTGATTGATGTTGATGATGATGATGCGATGATGGGATGATGATCTTGACGATGAAAATGGTGATGATGGTGGTGCCCCGATGCATATGCTGATGATGCGAATGGTGATGATGATGATGCTGTTGATGATAAGGATAAGGCTGGTGATAGTGTCCCGATGTTGATGATGCTGTTGGTCATGATGATGACGATGATGGTGTCCCGGTGATGATGATGATGATGGCGTTGATGGTGGGGATGATGATGAGATGAGGGTGATGAGTTTGATGATGGTGTCCCGATGATGGTGATGATGATGGTGTCCCGATGATGATGGTGAGTGTGATAACGATGATGAGGATGTTGATGATGAGGATGATGTCGCTGATGATGATGGTGTCCTGATGGTGATGGTGTTGATGGTGTTGCTCATGGTGAGCATGATGATATGATGATGATGGTGGTGATACGGTTCCGATGATGATGATGATGGTGATGGTGTCCCGATGATGATGGTGTTGGTGATGATGATGGTGACGATGACGGTGTCCGATATGATAATGATGCTTATGATGATGTTGATGATGATGGTAATGAGGTGATGCTGACGATGGTGTCCGGATGATGGCGATGATAACGATAATGTTGTTGACGTTGATGATGATGATGATGTTGATGATGCTGGTGACGTTGATTGTGGTGATATCGATCGGGAGATCGATGATGAGACCGAATGTGAGATTGATTGTGAGATCGATAGTGAGACCGATTGTGAGATCGTAGATTGTGCGATCGATCGAATGACAGAATGAATATATAGGTTGAGTGAGATCGATTGTGAGATCGATCGAGTGAGATCGATCGAGCGAGACCGATAGTGAGATCGATAGTGAGATCGATAGTGAGACCGATCGAGTGAGACGCTGCCCCCCCCCCCCCCCCGAAACCTCCTTATCATCCGAGGGGCGGTCGCGTAGGTCTATTATGCGCCCTGCCTCGAGGCAGGGTGTATAATATATACACCCTGCCTCTCCAGCTGGAACCTTCGATCGAACGCCCCAGCCCCCCCCCCGCCCCCAAATGCATTGCATGCCCTGCCTCGTATGGTCCCGTTTTAACGGGGCTGTCGGTTGTGATGCTGTGGTTGAATGGGATGTTCGATTTCAACATGCTGCCGAAAGAGCCTCGCTCCAGATTGAGCTCAGCCGCCGTGTGCGCGAAGCGCATCAAGGCGACGCTGCAGCGAGTTCGGTGTCGACGGGCCGGAACTTTTTTTTAGGGCTGCCCCCGCCCGCCCCCGAGATTTCTGACGTGAGTCCATATTTTGTTTTGGGTCCGTGGTTATCGCCGTCGATGAAATCTCACTTGAGCAGGGGCCGACCGCCCTGGCATTCCTACAGTCCTACAGCGAAATGTTCTTAGAACCCAAGAATGTTCCAATAACCAAAGCAATGTTCTTAGAATATCATAAACCCGATTTGATAAAACAAGACAGCCCCAACCAGATATGTTCTAAGAACATTTCGTGAGATCCACAAGAGGTTCTAGGAACATTGTTTGGTGGGGCTATGCGAGCCAGAACGCTTCGCCACTGCTCGCTCCGTCGCCCGTTGAAACGTTGGCTCGAGGTTCTTGTGGCGCAACGCGGAGCGCCCCTACTCGCCCCAGATCCAGGAGCTCAAGAATATGATGGTGCAGAGGAGTCCCACGGGTTCGGAGGCTGACACGCTCACAGTCATCGAGGTTGATTCGGTCCCCCTCGACGTCGCGGTCGCCGAACCAGAGCGCTGCGACGACGCCGAGGTCGACGGCACCGGCAAGCCAGAGGGCGACAAAGGCGACGTCGAGGTCATGGTCGCCCCGGAGCAGGTCGAGGAGATCTGCAGCGCTGCCGTCGAGGGCGACGACGCGGAGCTCGACGCGCTCATGGGCCAGGACGCCGCGGACGAGGGGGCCATCGTCCTCGAGGACAGCGCTGCCGCCTACGTGCACACGCTGGCTGCCGGGGCGCTGACCGACGAGTCTCAGGATGAGGAGGCCGGCTTCTTTCACGCGCTGCACGGCGACAAGGGCGTCGAGTTCCTCCCGGACAGTTGCAGGAACATGGCCATGACTGGAGACGTCTTGCACGGAGGGCCCCACCCAGGCGCGCAGGACAGCAAGAACGAGCACCTCGAGGGCGACATGGAGCGCATCTTCGCGTCAGAGGCCCCCGTCGTCGGCAAGCCCATGATCAAGAAGAAGAATCGTGCTGCAAAGACGAAGGGCGAGCTGAAGGGGGGCGCGTCGCTCGGCAGCAAGGGCAAGAAGGGGAAGGGCAAGAAGGGCAAGCAGGGCAAGAAAGTCAAGAAGGGCAAGCACGACGCCTCAGGTCTGCAAGGAGCTGAAGATGGCGGTGAGATGGCCTTGGACGCTGGCGAGCCCCTCGACGCTGCCAAGAAGAAGAAGAAGAAGGTCAAGAAGGTCAAGATGGATACCGACGCAATCCCGCGCGACGACGTCATCCCCCCCCCGAAGAAGACGGCCGCGAAGCAGAAGGCTGGCAAGAAGGCCTTCGCGAGTGCGCACGGCGACGGGGGGGGCCCTCCAGCTGTCGCCAAAGGGAAGGTTGAGAAAGCAGCCATGCTGGAGGAGTACGAGGAGGCAGTGAAGCAGGTCAAGGCGTCCACGGAGAAGGTCGAGCTCACCGAGCGCGTGCAGGTGTCGCTGAAGATGCTGCCGGAGGAGGCGAAGCTGGGCACGGAGCTGGGCGCGTGGCGCAAGAACTACCGCGTGCCCATCGTCGGCGGCATCGTGGAGGTGCAGCTCCACCACAGGCTGTTCAGGATGATCAAGCAGTGCGAGGAGGCCGAGTCCAACGAGGGGCCCCTGAACTTCCCGTGGCGTGCATACAGCAGCGTGCAGGACGCCTGGGATGCCGCCAGGAACCGGGTGATGGGCGTGTGCTGAGGGGCCATTCGAGCGAGACGCACTTTCTTTTTCTTTTGAACGTGCTGGGCTGCAGCCTCTCGGAGATCAGCGAGGTGGATCGGAGAGGCTCTTGCGGCCGCAGCCGCGGGGCTTTCGACGCGTCGCCGGGCGCCAGCCATGCCGGCGCTGGCGAACAGCAAAATCATAGATCACCAGACTGTGAGTTGTGCGAATGCTGTCTCGTGATCTTGAGCATGCCTTGCAGTTCGGGGATCGCTGCCTCAGCTTCCACATCGTGGATTTCATTCGCTGGTTTTCGGGATCACGAGACAGCATTTGTCGCAGGAGCTTGCAGGCGGCTGTCATAGCATGAGCAATGGAAGTTAGTTCATGGGCGTGAGCGTCTACCTCATAATCCGAGAGCCGTCACCGTCTGGAATCGAGGCTCCATCTCGTCCTCATCTTTCGCTCCCTCCTAGCACCCCTCATCGATGTTTTCAATCCTTGGGGCCCCGGCCCAGGCCCTTAGCTGGGGCTGTGCCGTCAGACGTGCACCCCACTTTCATCCACGCCCGTCGCTTCCGAAATGCTATGAACGATAAGCTAAAGCTAAGCTCAGCTCAAGCTAAGCTAGAGCTAAGCTAAAGCTAAGCTACAGCTAAGCTACAGCTGAGCTGAAGCTAAGCTAAAGCTGAGCTAAAACTAAGCTAAAGCTGAGCTACAGCTAAGCTACAGCTAAGCTACAGCTAAGCTACAGCTAAACCAATTATGAGCTAAAGCTATGCAACAGCTAAGCGAAAGTTAAGCTAAATCGAAGCCAAAGCTAAGCTACAGCTAAATATAAGCTACAGCTACGCTACAGCTAAGCTAATGCTAAGCTAAAGTTAAGTTAAAGCTAAGCTAAAGCTAACGCTAAGCTAAAGTTAAGCAGGTTCTAATATGAAGCTAAAGTTAAGCTGAAGCTGAGCTAAAACCACGCTACAGTTAAGCTAAAGCTAAGCTGAAGCTAAGCTGACACTTAAGCTAAAACTTAAAGTAAAGCTAAGCTATAGCGAAGCTAAAGCTAAGCGAAAGCTAAGCTAAAGCTAAGCTAAATATCTAAAGCTAGGCCCCCCTATACCAGCCGAGTAAGAACCCTTCTAGGCAGAGCCTAGGTATAGGGAAAGAAACGCTAGGGCATGATTCAACGATCTAACTGAAACAGTCAGGAGGATCGAGGAGGAGGGGGAGGAGGAGGAGGAGGAGGAGAAGGGGGAGGAGGGGGTGGAAACAAGAGAGGGGCACCCGCGGGCCTCCGCGGCGCTGCTCGGCGGCAGCCGGCGGCGCCCGCAGCAGGCCGGCGGGCCGGGCCGGCAGCGCATGGCCTCCGGCGGGCGGGTCGGGAGGGGCCCCCCGCCGCAAGAGGAGAGCCCCAAGAGGAGACCCTAACGCCCCGAAAGGCCCCCAACGCCCCAATAGGAGATGACCCTAAGACGGCCTATTAAAGGGGCCCCAAAGATGTCTCACGAGGCCTTCCAGCTGCCCCCAACTTAAGACAACTCCAAGAGGGGGCCCAAACGGGAGCGCCCGGCCCCGATGCCCCCATGAAGCCCCGAATGGCCGCCGAGGGCACCGAGGAACAACAGAGAATTCACCGAGAGGCCCCAAGAGAGCCCCAAGCGGCCTCGAGGGCCCCCCCACCCCCTCCCCCCCGCCCCGAAGCGGCCCCGAAGAAGCCTAAAAGCCCCCCCCCCAGAATAGCCCCCGAGCGGCGGGACTTGCCGACGGCAGCTGGGATATTGCAGCGGAGATGGGTACCATATGCACGATGGGCATGGAGAGTGTTGGGGTGGAGAATGAAAGAGAGAGAGAGAGGGAGAGAGAGAGAGAGAAAGAGAGAGAGAGAGAGAGAGAGAGAGAGAGAGAGAGAGAGAGGGGAGGGCACCTCCGCGACGATCTTATGACGAGTTTTGCTTATAATCCATTATAACCGCACTTCGCGAAGGTCGCAGCAGGGCGTGGACGACGAAGAGGAGGACGAAACCGTTTTGTCAGATCGAGCTCGGGAGGGGTAAGTGCAGCGGCCGTTGGGGGTGACCCTTTCTTTTCGGGCGGTCGCCGCGGCTGGACTTTGCTCGAAACGCTGGCTGCGCTTGCGTTGCCCTTGGGGGCCCTCGGCCCCCGTGGGCGCGGGCCAGACGCATCCTTCGAAATGGCAAGCATCATCAACATCGTCATCATCATAATCAGCACCATATAGCCAGTTCGGTTCAAGCCCGTTGCGGCCAGCATGCCGCCCATGACACCTGCCCCCCCAGGGGCGCCAGCGTGGAAAGTTATGTTAATCGTATGCTTCCGTTCTTGGGCCGACGACTTGGAACAAAAACGAAACCGCCGACGGTTTCTGTTAGAAGTGTGCTTCCGTGCTTGGGCGGACGGCTCCGCTCCTGCTTCTGGGTACAATCCACGCAGGTGCCTTATATGCCATATGTACGATCGTCGCTCGTCCTTTGCCAAACACATGGTGGAACTACGAGGTTTGCTTTTGAGAAGCGTGAGAACAGCTGCTTTCAGAGACATGCGCGGGCTCCTTGCCATCAGTCTTCAATATATGGACAAGTTCCAAATCAAAGAGATGAGCTACAAAGGAGCGGTTGCAATGAGAGGCAAAAGTGGTTGGTTCTATACTGATCATGGAAACTTCGTATATACGCTGTGGTGGCTGTTGACTGGCTTAGCTTCCAAACATCGCCTGAAAAAACCATAAGGATGATGTGGTATGCAAGGCTTTCATGGCGTGCCAAGGAAGACTTGTGGCCAGGTGGCCTAAGCAGAAAGACACGCCACAACTATGTGAACAAATCGGTGACATGGTGGAGCTTGCGTTGGCATGCAGCTACATAACGAGGCCAAATACTGGCACTTGCAAGCAACGCTCGGGCCAGTCATCATCAAAGTGCGAGAGATCGTTTGGTTCTTGGACAACCACGCCCGCTTCGAGCGAACGCAAGTTAGTGGGTCATTTTTCGACGGGATGCCGTCGCGATGCGGGTGTGTCTCGCGGCTCGCCCAGGGCATGTTTTCGGCCATGCAGGTACAGAAGTATGATGTTGACTTGTCCAGGGCCGGGAACTTCGCGTTTGTCACACTTGCGTCAGAATTGCGCCCGCATTGCCCATTATAATAGGTAGTGATTGCATGTGTCGGACTCGCTGCGCCAAGCAGCCATGCATGTTCCCGATATCGTTGCTGCACTAAAGCAACCAACCTTTTCAGGTGCACGGCCAGAGTTCTCTGCCCCCCCCCCCCTCCCTGCCTTCCTCCCCGAGGGAGCCAGTTCCCTAGAATTCGAAGGCCTGCAGCTCTGAAAGCTCGCCGTGATGTTGATGTTGATGATGCGATGATGATGGTGGTGGTGATGATGACGACGGAGATGCTGATGATGGCGATGTTGGTGATGATGATGCTAATGATGGCGATGTTGCTAATGATGATGATGATGACGATGATGCTGAGGAAGATGATGCTGATGATGATGCTGATGAAGATGATGATGATGATGATGAATGGTGGTGACGGTGGTGGTGATGGTGGAGCGTGTGCGCGTGTAAGAATGGACGGTGCTGATGATGAGTGGTGGTGAGGGTGGCGTGTAAGAACGGATTGGAGGGACTGCGCGGATGGTGCTGCGGATTCGGATGGGGATGTTGATGAGGATGGGGGGTGAGGATGACCATGAGGATGATCATGGTGATGAGTGTGATGCTGACGATGAGGATTGTGATGATGGTGGCGATGCTAATGATGATGATGAGGATGGCGCTGATGATCATGATGCTGATACCGATGAGGATGATGAGGGTGGTGATGGGCTGATGATGTTCATGATGACGAGGATAAGGATGATGATGATGACGGTGGTAATGATGCTGATCTGGATGATGACGGTGATCATGATGATGATCACCATGAGCCCTATGAGCCTCATGGGCCCGACGAGCCCTATAAAGCCATATGAGCTCTGTGAGCCCCGCGAGCAGCGTGAGCCCCTTGAGAGCCCCATGGACCCGTACGAGCCCTACGAGGTGAAAACTAAGAGCCCTATGAGCCCTGTAAGATGCCCCTGACCACGACAAGCAATACGAACACTATGAGGCGCATGAGCCCAACCCTCGTAGCCCGATAGGAGCCCCATGAGCTTTCTGAGCCCTACTATCCTTTCAACGCGAAGCGCAGGCCGCATGCACCACGCAGATCGCACAATATATATGAATATATATATATATATATGAGCTATAGCGTTACTACTGATGCTGCTTTCCTAGGGGCTCCAACTCCTATAGGTAGGGTCGAACTGGGATAATTTGAGTGTGGTCTTGGCCACGCGCTCCTCCTGGGGCGTTGAAGGCACCTCGGGGCGTCTGGGGGATTGCTTGGGCCGTCTTCGGGCCATCTTGCGCCCTAGAACCTAGGCATGCTTCGGAGGCATCTTGAGCCATCTCGGCGGCCTGGGCGGGCCTCGTGTCATGTATGTATGTATGTATGTGTGTATACATAACACGTAAGTATACTATAGTGTTTCTCATTGTGGGCCTTAGTATGATCAACGCACTCTCGAACCCCAGTTTGGCAGTCTGGCACGAGGCTCAAGCGTTGCCTGAACCCTTTCGGCGCAGGTGGCGCGAAAAAGTATGATGCGTGAACGGCAGACCCCGCGATTGTCCGTCTCGGTTCTCCCTTTCCCCATACCCTCGCGCCCCCCCCATGCAACTCCGCGTTTTCGGGGGGTGGGGGTTCGCCGCCAATGCATCATGCCGTTTCGTGCCCCCTGAGATGCATCGCACATGCACACATCTCGCCCCGATGTGCTACGAGCCCATATGGGACCCCGCCCAGAATGAGTACCTATATCCATGGTTTACTATGCCCATCGGGGCACCCGGATGCGAGGTCGAGTGGCTTACTTCCAGTGAATGGATACGTCGCGATGAGAATCGCGAGATGTTCAACCGGTCGCCACGGTCGCCCATGTCTTATAGCGACGACGAACACGTGTCGGT